CTGGGAACAAGTACCCACAGAAGGAATGGAATGTATACCATAAACAGGCGTAAGTGCCGTCGCGCTGAGTAACACTAATCAGCCTTGTGAACCTTCTGGAAAGATGTTGTGTGCTACAGGGTTGGACTCGCATGCAAATTGTGTTTGAGATATTTCGTAAGCTTACATAAATTTTATGATAATCATTGGGAGCAAATGGGACTAAGACTGCTTCGGTAATACTATTTTTTTCGTCGGTAATACCTCGGATAGAGATATTTTCGGTGACACGCTTAGTGTAATTTTGGCGGGTGTTACGTATGAAAATGGAACAACCGGCACCACTGTCAATAGGAATTTCAAATTTTCCTGTCGCATCTTTAATGTAATATAGGTTATTTAGACTAACAGGGAGAATAGTCGACGGAACTATTAAAGGCGAGCTTATATGAATATTTGATCGCGTGTATTGCTGATGCTCGCACACGGGTTCGGGTTTTCGGTACTGAGTTTCGCTAAATTCGCGAATACAACCGCGGTACTCTCGTTGAATTCCGCAGGGTTCTTCTCTTTCAAACACTCGGTCTAAAAATCCTGACATTGCACGTTTGAATAAGCGATGTCGACAAATGTCGCGTCGGTCTGATTATATTCGTAAGAGATGATTGTTACTACTGGGATCCATAAATTCGTCATATGGGGAAGGTGTGTAGGCGGAGTATTGGGTATCGGTATCATACTCGCATGCGTAGTCTGTATTGTATAGGTCTGGTTCGCCATCAGCGTGTTCGTAAGAATCCGGAGCGACGTAGTTGATTCGATTGGGAGAATTTTGCTTTGAAAGTTGGGATTCGGAAAGTTTGGGTTATTCTGAATTAGAGATGGTCTTGGGGCGCTTGCGCTAGGCGTATTTGGTCTGGGCGGACGGTCTGGGAGGACACTGGTTAAAATTGCTAGAGGTAGCAGGTCTAGCCTGCATCGGCTGATTTGGCTTGGGGTAATTCTGGAGCTGCGGCTGATAAAACGGTCTTGAGACGTTACTTGTAGACTGCTGTCTACGTCGAGATTCGTTAGCCAAATGACCGATTACAGAAATTACAAATTCTGGGAGTTGGTTTTCGATTAGTGGATGAATTTTGATTGGGGTTAGGACCTCTGGAAAATTTTCTAAATATGAGAGCTGTAATTCGCATTTAATAAATGAAACGGCGGTTAGAATGTCCAGTAAGGGTTTTCCGTCGCATAAGAGTACATGTTATGCCTGTTGACAACACCTATGCTGTTAAAAGTTGCCTCATCGCTAAAAAGAACCTTATCCAGGAAAGTAGTGTCTTCACTCACTTTATACACCTTAGGAAAAACCATTGTTATACATGGGAAATCATTTCTTGGCAACAGCGCATCGGCTCGTCTACTTTCATCGCTATTCGTACATATTTCCTACCGTTAACCGCAGACCTGTATCACGAATGAGAATAATAGGCAGATACGCTGTGTTGCCAATTTGAGTAGAGCTTCCAGAATTGTGGGGAATTTAGAGTTAAGTGTTGATTCATTCAAGCTTTTAATCAGCATGGCCTAGACGTTAGAACTTCATAAAGATAACATTGAAGCTGAATGCTGCTGGAGTATAGTGTTTCGAATATTCAAAGCGGAGCGGGACACTATACTCGTTCAATGGGTCATCAAGCCACAGTCTTTTCAACAAAGAAATTATTTTACGAAAATGCGTTATATTTTTACGATTTTGTCGTCACCAAATCTCTGTTTCTCAAAATGTACGTCTATTGTAGAATTTTCAGAAAACTAAGCAAGAAGCGTGATCTAGTATTTACTCAACATTACGGATTTCTCGAAATACATTAAAAAATGTGACCTAGATACCTAACTGCCCCAAGCTCTTTAAATATAACACCTTAAACCAGGGTTACCAGGTGCTCATTCACGTTGATTGTCATGTTGTACTGCGCAAGTCAGCAAACAATCTGGCGTAATAAACGTTAGGAATCATCAGGTATTGCCAGATTCCCGAATACCGGGCACCATAGTAACCGTTATAGTTGTCCTTCAAAGTTGTCAAATCGCCCCTATGGCGCAAATTCGCCACACCAGGCAACTGTGCTATAAACAAACCCTGTTTATCACTACTATTTGATAGTCATATGGTAGTTGTAGCCCTATCTAGCGGTCCATGATTTCTCTCAATACTGTTGTGTCTCTACTGGCAACAAGACTACGGATTACAAAATCATTTATACAACAATATACAAACATGAAAAATATGATTTGAACCATGAAACATTAATACAATTTTAATAGTTTGAACTTTTTTCATTTTTGGAATACTCTTATGTGGAACCCACAGCTATTTTTCCCGAAATTTGGGTAGACTTATATTTCTTAGAAATATGACATATTGGTAACTCTGCGAATGGGAGAAACAAATCGCATTTGTTGAGCGCATCCGTCTAAGCGGTAGGCGCCAGCGCCCGTTCTGCCATCTCTCTCTTTTATCACTCTTCTACTTTACCCCGTTGTCCGTCACACTCCGACGCTGCCAGATAGGATCCTACAATCGAGTGTCTTTAACGCTCCTACATACTTTTGTATATTTCCATCTCTCTTCCTCATCATAATGTATAATAATGGTTTTTCCCAAGGTGTATAGTATTATTCTACTAAACTCCATTCGAGCTGCGATATCCTGAGGACGAAGGCCATGTTGCAAGTATAGGTGATATGGATGGTACCTATGCTTGTGAATAATCCATTGGACAGAAGTTCTGCATATATCAGTTTCTGCTCCAATTTGCCGTGCACTTAAATGCGGATTTTCCTGCAACTTTAATAGGACCTTCAACTGATTCGCCTCATTGGTGACACTTGGATTATTTATACATTTTTTACTATATTCCACTGCTTAGATATCGCATATTAGGGTACAGTTGCTTATAAATGCGAGATGCTATGAAACTATTTCTTTGGGCTTCGCCCAAAACGAACACCATATTCACCATTTCTTCTTTCGAAAAATACATTTTCAAACACGTTTTTATTATAATGCTCACAAAGCTAATTTTGACAGTTTGTAACTAATCAACAATTTATTTGTTTCCAAGTATGATGCAATATTTTAGAGAATTAAGCCGTTCCATAAAAGACGTGCTGATAACCGAAAAAATAGCCGTAAAAGGCCTTGTGTCTAGCATAAAAAAAGCTTATAAAAAATTGAATCCAAACTTGCACAAATAGAGAAATTACAATTTGCGTTTTTGACCACCCTGTATGACCAAAAATTAATATTCGAAAAAGTAACAAATAAGATAAAAGCTGAGGTGTGTAAGTTTTGTTTGATACAAAATTCAGCACTCCAAATTTCAAAATGGAGGACTGAGGGGTTGTCGAATTGGGGGGTTTTTCTAGACAAAACACCTTATATCTCAGCAGCTAATTACCAAAACCCCATAGTATGTTATATCAATTTTCTTCTTTTGAATTGGTTTATCCAAATATGCAATAAAATTTGAAAAATCACAACTTTGATATGTAGGTCAAAATTAGGACACCCTGTATAATTGCCAATATTTTATAAATGTGCCCTCAAACGCCATGTATAACATGACATAAATAGCATTTCCTAAAATGTATTTGTTTATGAGTAATATTCCGTCCACACATGGTTGAGCCACTCCTTATACGAATATGTATATATATATATATATATATATATATAACAACAAGTAGGAAAATAATGTGCAAAATCCGCAAAAAGGAGGAATGTGGATTCGAGCAGAAAATAGGATAGGTAACCCGAGCGATACGTATTTCTGCTGGTTGGCTTCATCAGGCCCGAAATGAATGCACATATGAGACTACAAAAGTAGATACACATGCCCACACATCCGGATACGGGTGTAACCTGAGGAAACGAAGTTGGAGGGGAAAAAACGACACACGAAGTCCACAACAAGAGCCAACCTACACATTGTAGTATAAAATGGCTATACGACCTCGAATTTTCAAGGAGACGTCTAACCACCACCACGCGGCCGGTTATAGCCACTTGCTGTGGTACTTCAAGCCCAAAGGATCTACAAAGAGAATATGATCATGCGGAGAAAGTTATATAACAACAAGTAGGAAAATAATGGGCAAAATCCGCAAAAAGGAGGAAAGTGGATTCGAGCAGAAAATAGGATAGGTAACCCGAGCGATACGTATTTCTGCTGGTTGGCTTCATCAGGCCCGAAATGAATGCACATATGAGACTACAAAAGTAGATCCACATGCCCACACATCCGGATACGTGGTGGTTAGACGTCTCCTTGAAAATTCGAGGACGTATAGCCATTTTATACTACAATGTGTAGGTTGGCTCTTGTTGTGGACTTCGTGTGTCGTTTTTTTTCCTCCAACTTCGTTTCCTCAGGTTACACCCGTATCCGGATGTGTGGGCATGTGTATCTACTTTTCTAGTCTCATATGTGCATTCATTTCGGGCCTGATGAAGCCAACCAGCAGAAATACGTATCGCTCGGGTTACCTATCCTATTTTCTGCTCCAATCCACTTTCCTCCTTTTTGCGGATTTTGCCCATTATTTTCCTACTTGTTGTTATATACCTTTCTCCGCATGATCATATTCTCTTTATATATATATATATATATATATATATATATATATATATATTATATTCTGTGCCAGTCTGTGTTAACATTTGAAATATCAAATATATCAACGATCTACGACAACAAACGTTTGCTCGGGTTTCGACCTGTGAATGATGGCAACAGCGCCAGCGTTGCGAATGTCTGAAAGGGAAATTTTACTGACATCTCTATTTATTGTCGGTGTACGAGACATTAACCTTTTCATGGTATATTTCTAAAAATTGAGAGGATGAGGTTAATAGCTGTCGCAAATTGTCATAGATGACGCTTCGGTATTTAATTTCAACTCAATAATTTTTTCGATGCGCGAATGTAAGTTAGAAGGACCGATAAACAAAGTTAACGTTTCAGGGGTTGCACGGGCCTGACAGAGGCCGCGTTCCAGATGCTGACAGCCGAAGTGTACGCTGAATGGGTGTGCGACAAGTGCCTGCAATCGAAGAATATCCCGCTGGTGAAGTTCAAGCCTTAGTACGACGACATTGTTCATTCCCTTGTTGACAAATTGATAGACAGCGAGCGAAGCCATACATCGGTGAGGCGACCGCTATCCTAGAGATTACAATTAATGAAAAGATTTTGCCTATCTCTCCCTGGTTTCATCATACCGAAAAACCTTCACATCTTGAGGAAGTTGAAACTGCCACTTGAACGTTTTGAAATTATGGTTGTAATGTATACACTGTCCTGGCAGCGGTTGTAGTAACTTCTTAATTCGGAGGCTATTTAAAGTCAATTGGCTTGAGGAGGTTGTTGTTTAATAAAAATTCCATATTGTCCATATTGTCGATAAAATTTCATCACTATGACATACGTAGATCAATCTTACATCTGTCCGTTATGTTAATTTTTTTATAAACATCGATGAACTGTCGGTTGTTCATTGTCTGAGTTTAGAAAAAACCTGACATATTGAGGAAACATATATATATATATATATATATATATATGAGCAGTAGTCATTGCCAAGGCAACGACTAGTTGGGTACAAAATACAATTACTTGTTAATTGGGAAATTGGCAAAACTTTTAGGCTTAAGTTGACTCTTTTGACGATAAAATCAAGCTTTCGGCATTCTCTATGGAGCCATCATCAGGATTCTGAAAACACAATTGTGATGCTAGCAAAGAAAACAGGATAGATTTAAAATGTCAGACAACTTACTCGTCGGTGAGGTTGCATCCACAAGGTGTTTCAGAAAGAACGTAGAGAAGATCGAACTTGTGATCAATATAAAAACAAAAGGACGGGGACATTGGGTATGTAGAAAAACGACAGATACCTTCGTTAAAAGTTAAGAAAAAATAAAAATTATATCAATACACCCGAACAGGTTAAAAATATTACACGTGGGGAGACATTTTGTTGAAACAATCGGAATGCAGTCCCTAACCTTCTACTACCGCTACACGTGGAGAGGGGGAAGGCACGGAAAGGTAAAGCGTCGACAGATGACAAGTGATTGACGCGATGGACCGTGGAAATGTACACCTCCCTTGGGTATGAAGTATACAAGGGACGCTCGGTAAATCTCCACCCAAAATTACTAAAATGCTGAAATAACTTGTTTTGGAAAAAAGTGTGTGGATCATATGAGTGCAAGAATGTGTGATATTAATACAACCTTGAAAAGATGGGTTATGTGAGTTTATATTAAAAATGTGAGTGAGAAAATGTATTCTAATTTTGTGAAGATGTTGGATCAATTTGGACATGTAGCCGTTTTAGCTTTTCGCAATTCAACAGGTAGGAATAAATGACACTGAGCTGCTTAACATCAGCCTTTTTATTCATGCAATGATCTGTCATGAAAATGTGGGACATTTCTAAAAATAAACGTTTTGAGAGTCTTCTTTCTTTATCAAGAACCTCAATACTGCCATAATTCATAGAGTGTTAATTATGTTGTTTTGCCATACATCAAAGAACTAACACCAAAATTGATCAGGCTGTATAATTCCTTTAATTGTCGTTTTGCTTGTAAATCAGTTCTTACAGTCAACAGTTTGTTGTCCAAAATGAAAGATAAGGTTCAGTTGCTTGATTCAACCAATACTGTCTATCGTATTAATTGCAACAACTGCAATTTAGTTTATATAGGTCGCTAAAAGGCAGGATAACGTCACACAAAAGTGATGCCAGATTACATCCAGAAAGATGTGCTTTGGCGTCGCATATTAACAACACAGGTCACTCTATGAATTATGGCAGTATTGAGGTTCTTGATAAAGAAAAAAGACTCAAAACGTTTATTTTTAGAAATGTCCCACATTTTCATGACAGATCATTGCATGAATAAAAAGGCTGATGTTAAGCAGCTCAGTGTCATTTATTCCTACCTGTTGAATTGCGAAAAGCTAGAACGGCTACATGTCCAAATTGATCCAACATCTTCACAAAATTAGAATACATTTTCTCACTCACATTTGTAATATAAACTCACATAACCCATCTTTTCAAGGTTTTATCAATATCACACATTCTTGCACTCATATGATCCACACACTGTTTTCCAAATCAAGTTATTTCAGCATTTTAGTAATTTTGGGGGGAGATTTACCGAACGTCCCTCGTATACTTCATACCCAAAGTTGGACAGGGAGGTGTATATTTCCACGGTCCGTCGCGTCAATCACTTGTCATCTGTCGACGCATTACCTTTCCGTGCCTTTCTCCTCTCCACGTGCAGCGGTAGTAGAAGGTTAGGGACTGCATTCCGATTGTTTCAACAAAATGTCTCCCCACGTGTAATATTTTTAACTTGTTCGGGTGTATTGATATAATTTTTATTTTTTCTTAACTTTTAACGAAGGTATCTGTCGTTTTTCTACAAACCCAATGTCCCCGTCCTTTTGTTTTTATATTGATCACAAGTTCGATCTTCTCTACGTTCTTTCTGAAACACTTTGTGGCTGCAACCTCACAGACGAGTAAGTTGTCTGACATTTTAAATCTGTCCTGTTTTCTTTGCTAGCATCACAATTGTGTTTTCAGAATCCTGATGATGGCTCCATAGAGAATGCCGAAAGCTTGATTTTATCGCCAAAAGAGTCAACTTGAGCCTAAAAGTTTTGGTTCTATAATTGCAACAAGTGCTCTCATTCGCGCTTTCGTTTTACACCATTTAGCTGCAACCTCACCCACGAGTAAGTGATTTGAAAATTTAAATCTGTTCTAAATTGGTTGCTATTTACGTATTTGTGCTTTAGCTCCTGAAGATGACAACATAGTTTGTTGAAAGCTCGAGATTACCGTCGAAAGAGCTTACTAAGCTTTACGTTATGCCAATTCCCAATAAACAATTTAATTGTACATATATATATATATATAAAGAGAAAATGATCATGCGGAGAAAGGTATATAACAAAAAATAGGAAAATAATTGACAAAATCCGCAAAAAGAAGGAAAGTGGATTCGAGCAGAAAATAGGATAGGTAACCCGAGCGATACGTATTTCTGCTGGTTGGCTTCATCAGGCTCGAAATGAATACACATATGTAACTACAACAGTAGATACACATGCCCATACATCCGGATACGGGTGTAACCTGAGGAAACGAAGATGTAGAGGAAAAAACATCACACACGAAGTCCACAACAAGAGCCAACCTATACACATTGTAGTATAAAATGGCAATGGTTACACCCGTATCCGGATGTGTATCTATTTTTGTAGTTACATATGTACATTCATTTCGGGCCTGATGAAGCCAACCAACAGAATACGTATCGCTCGGGTTACCCATCCTATTTTCTACTCGAATCCACTTTCCTTCTTCTTGCGGATTTTCCCCATTATTTTCCTATTTTTTGTTATATATATATACGTGAGCAGTAGTCATTGCTAAAGCCAACGACTAGTTGGGTACAAAATACAATTACTTGTTAATTGGGAAATTGGCAAAACTTTTAGGCTTAAGTTGACTCTTTTGACGATAAAATCAAGCATATGTATATATATGTAAATAGGTAAAAGTGGCATTTCAGGTTGTGGATATCGCGTAATATGAATCGATTTTATAAATTGGATCTTTATAGTTTTTAAAGTGTAATCTAAACAATTTTTTCGCCATATGAGTTGCTCTTTATATACGGTGTTTATGGGGTGTCCCTTTAACAACATATATATTATCCATTACGTTCAACTTGTGATAACATGAAGCGGAATTTATCTAAGCGTAAATCAGCTGTACTATTTATTTATGGGCTTTGTATTCCTCATTACAAAATGATTGCCCAGTTTTGGGACATCCTGATTGTTCTACTTTTATTAGTTGTGACTACTTGTACATGTAATTTTTATGAGTGACGAATTTGTAAATTCAAACGGTAACTGTTGTCATGTTGAATTATTTATGAACTTCCTCAACTTTGAGGTGAAATTATAAAAGCGTCACTCAATAGCAATTTTTTATATAGCAATATTTAATCATTAATGATTACATTCGCGATATAGTCTAGAATTTTCATATTTTAGTGAAATGTGTAAATAGTAAAGATAAGACTACTATTATTTCTTTGCATATATATCTTACCTACACCCTGGTTATGTTGTAATTTTGATTGTTTTAATTAAACCTAAAATTGTCAAAACATATTTTTCTTCATCTGCAATTATAAAGAATTCGATATGCATTTCCACGTGAACATAATACAAGTGTTGAGAAAATATGTGCATGTTACACATATCGATTTTAAATAAGTATATGCGAGAAATTAATAAAACTATATATTTAACTCATGCCTACGTCTTCTCCACAAACTTCCTCACATATACTTTTTAGTATTTAAGCAATATGGTCCATCCAACGTTGAATTGAACTTCATTTCAAGAAACTAATTAAAAAATTAGTTCCAAGGTGGTGCATTAAGGTTCTATTCTAAATAGCAGATCTGCAATACAATTATTCTGCCTCACTACCTACATTGTTCATAATTCATCAAATTATTTAATAACTGATGAGCTACAGAAACTACAGATACAAAAAAATAAATGCATTCCCAAAATTCTTTTTTTTACACATCGAAGCTGCCGCGGAGGCAGAAGCCTAAATGCCGGAACGGGTATTATGTAAAAATCCTATAAAACGTCAAAAAATCCTATAAGATGTCATCTTGCAGACTAAGTAGTTTTTAGGGCACAAACAGTCATTCCACGTTTGCTTAGTAGGATCGTTGTGAACGTCCATCTATGGAGGAATCACTCAACTAAACTACACGCGTTTTTATCTCTGAGAAGAAAGTTGGTTGAATAGTATATGTGTATAGCGTGTGTATAAAATCAGTGATATTTGCTCTGTGAGAAAATAATTACTGAATATACTGCCAATGAAGCATATCTATTAGCTGTGCATGACGGGTTATCTATATGTTGTCCTTTCTGAAGACAGGTCACGTTCAAAGTTATAAATTACGAAAAACTTTGAGGACAATTACGGGAAAATAATCACCGAGCCCGTGTTGTGTGTAATTACTGTTAGCATGTACGAGTATATGACTGACAGTGTACAGTGAATATAATTATTTTGTTTCTCTCTCATTGTTGAAATTAATCAAATTTGCATATGTAATTTCCAGAATGGATAAAAAAAATTGGATGCGCATATGTGAGACAAGAATCCAATGGAATTATCACCAATACATACAACTTACAGCTTAGACATTCAGTAATGCCATCTCTGAAGCAGATTTTACATCACATCAGAGCCAAACATTGATAACTAAAGCCTCATGACGTTTAGGCAACACGTAAAACTACAAAACGGCATAATGTCACCGACACCGCGGCTGCTATGAGGATCCCAAAGAAATTTTGTTAATCCGATTTTTGAACTGCCCAACGTTAGTAGAACTGGGAAAGGCTTCATCTTGTAGCTTGTTCCACAAACACGATACCCTCGGGACAAAGGAGTGGTCGTATCGGCCAGTTCTGGATGTACTAAGTTCGACACGGGGGAGGCCAAAGTCATTCCTGTGTGTCTGGCCGGCACATC